TAATTACAAAAAAAAAAAAAAAACCCACCAGCTCATAGTGGATAACTTGGAACATATTCCTCCCCCCTCTTTTATCAGTCTTTATCTAATTTCAGTTTAGACCCAAGTAAATCGTTTTTCAACAGTTAGGTATTAGGTTTTGCATACAGCTTTGGAATCACATTTTAAACTATTACTTTTTATAATTTGAATAGTCTCCAGTGCTCTCTGCAAGTCATTTTGTGTGTGCGTTTCCTTATACAAATTCATCTGTTGATCAACTGGACAGGAAATTCAGATACTTTTTTTCAAGAAAAGGTCATGCAAGATATATTTACAGCCTCTTTGTAAATCTGAAAATCAATCTCTACAGCCTTTGAACAAAACATCATGTTGGGTGAATATGGAATTCTTGAGACACAACCTTGTCTTCAGGAACAGTCCTCAGGGTTGAGAAAGTCTGAGCCCAACTTGATGTTTATTTCATTAGTAACCTGTTCACATCTATCTAAATGCCTGAAAGATTCTTTCTTTAACTTGGAAACTCAAGTATTGATATTTTAAAAGATATGTCTCTATATGGGTCTGGTCATTTTAATTTTGTCTCAATTCTTCTCCAGCTCAGAATAGTTTTCTTCTGACATGTGCCTGACTACTGCTGTTTCCAGTATTTTGCTCCATTTCTTCATTGGGAATAAATGTAATTCTCAGATTAGATCTGTGTTTGCTGTCTTCTCTCCCAACATTTTCATCTTGGTCCTTTCCCTTATTTTGTCTTCTACTTTACTGGTTTGATTTCTGCTATGTCTTCTCTGTATTGACACTCGTTCATACAGGTGCTTAATTCTATTATACTTTTGGCATATTTGCCCTCATTTCTCATTTCAGCCTTTGCAAATCTTACTTCATCCCGATCTGTTTTCTCCAGATGGCCCCTGACTCTGATCTCATTGTGGCTAGGCCTTCCCACATCTTTTTGAGACAACCAAAAATATGTCTGCTAAAATGTTTCTCTCCTTCGTGGAGAAATTTATTTTCAGTGTTATGATTTCACTTCAAGTTTTAACACAAAGGCTTTCTTTCCTTTATCTTGCAGTATTCTTTCCTTAGGCCCCTTTGGGCATTTTTCTCTCTCTCTCTGCAAAAGAGAACAGTATGTTCCAGCCTGGCACTTGCTAGTGGATAGTCCTGATGAAGTCTTTTTTTGTCCTTCAATTTCCTCTTGGGCACAAGTAAAGCAGATCTGAAGTGCACACTGACTCCTGTGCCTACCTCCTTTTTCAGAATCTGACAGATACTTAGCTATTGTGGACTGGAAAAGAAAATGGCAACCCCTGGGGAATCCTATGGACATCTCTGGACATTAGTTTGGGGCTCTTGCTCTAACTGCTATAATTTCCTACTAGCAGAAGACACTGCTGTAATTTCCTACTAGTTGGAGACACTAGTAGGAGACAACAGAGTCTGCTGTCCTGTTTTAAAGGGTAGCACATAAAACCACATGCCCTCCAAGCATGCACTGCCCTCCCCCTTCTTCTTGTCCCTCTCCAATTTACAGTACTTAAAAAAAATTATTTATTTGGAGGCAGCTTGAAAAATCTTCATTGCAATGTGCAGGTTTGGTTGCCCCACCACATGTAGAATCTTAGTTCTCTGACCAGGAATTAAATTTGCGTCCCCTGCGTCAGAAGGTAGATTCTTAATTACTAAGCCACCATGAAAGTTCCTACAGTACTTTTTATTTTTTTTAATTTAAATTCATTTATTTTTAATTGAAGGATAATTGCTTTAAAATACCCTACAGTACTTATTATTACACAACTAGCCCTTCCAGGACACAACCCACCTCTACTTGTCTCCATCTATATCCTGCCTGGCTGTGGACTGGGAGCCATAGTCTTTTAAGGGATGTGGGAGGAGAAATTGATGGGTTGGGTGGGAGGTTTGACTCTGGACATGACTCTGCCTGGCTCAGAAGACAGCTTCTTCCCAGTTGGAATGTCTGGCCAGTGTATCTCCAAGTTCCTAAAGTAGCTGGGAGCAAATGATGGGGGCCAGGTGTACTTGCTTTCCATTCTCCTTCAGCACCACCTGGGCTTCGCTGGTTCAGTTTGTGAGCCATGCATCTTGTAATCTTGAGTATATGCTTCTCAATCCATCCCATTGACAATTACAGTAGTAGACATTCCCTATGGATTTAAGCACATGGTCTTTCTCCATCTTAAATTTACATTTATTTTCCTCCCTTTTTTCACGCTTTCTGTGCAGTTTCATGGTTATTTTAGGATGAAACATCTCAAATATTACCTGTCTTCTCCTATGATGACCAGAGAAGTTTGTAAATTAAAAAATTATATTATTGCTAGCTAAAATGTACAGGTAACCCATAATAGCATATCTACATTAGGTTTTGAACGCAACACAAGGGAAACACAGAGAGATTTTCTTATCACTTATAGATTCAAAGGACAGAGATAAGGATGTACTATATAGCACAATACTCTATAATAACCTCTATGGGAAGAGAAATCTAAAAAGGAGTGGATATATGTATATGTATAAAGATTCACTTTGCTATACAGCAGAAACTAACACAACATTGTAAATCAGCTGTATTTCAATACAAAATTTAAACTAAGCTAAAATAAATTTAAAAAAACAAAGGACAGATAAATCAGTAATTACGCTAATAGCACCATAATGGCTCATGCTTTAGGCAGAGAGACAGGGAAAGCTACAAGAAGCAAAGTGATCACAACCTTTCCAGACCTGGGGGTAAGAACATTCTCTGAAGTTGAGAGTGTTAACAATTTAGAATGGGTAAAATCAGCCCCCTGCAAAAGTTACTCTTGAGATTACAGTGTTTCCCAATTCTACAAAAAGGAGAACAGCTTGTTCATTCAACTGAAACAAGAAAATTGAAGTGTTTCTCAAAACCCAAAAAAGAGCCAGTTTGATCCAAATACATTCTTAGGATTTGAATGTTGTTAATGTCACTCAATGTATAACCAAGGAAAGTGCATATTCTCTTGATGGAGGAAATAATGAAAAATAGTTAGTCTGTTTGGACTCTAGGAAAGGGGGAAGCAGAGAATAGGAATCTGTCGGTGCGTTTTTAGCCCTGCATAAAAGACAGAGCATGTTCTGGATCTGAACCAGGCAGAATTGTTCTGGCTAGCTTAACAAGCATTGTCATTCTTTTGGCAAGTACATCCCCATACTGGAAAAGGAGATGATCAGAACTGATGACTCTATTACTAAAATCATCTAGATCCTTTATTCTGAGCCAGTAAGCAAGCCACTTTCCATATGATGCTTTCTCTCAGTTGAGGGAAAAAATCTGGGCAGGAAGAATGTGGATTTAATGCTGAATAGAAAACAGACCCTAATTCTGGAGTTCAGTGTTAACCAGCCACAGTCATTTGATATGGAGAAATGACCCAAGCTGTGAAAAAAATATTCCATATGAATTTTTTTTGGCCTGTTTTTCCTATATCCAAATTTTTCTGTGATCCCCCTTTGCCTTCAAACTCAATCCACATTTTGAGTATTACTCTCAAGATGCTTCTCAAACTTCTCCTTCATACTTTATAGTCTGGCCCATCCTGATGCCTTCCCAAACATCTTCATTCATTCCCTCTTCCCTACCTTTGATTATACTTTCTCTTCCTTGTAATGCCCTCTCTCTTCTTTTCCACTAACCAATATCTCATTGGTTCCAGGTTAAGTTTAAGTCCACCTTTCTCCATAAAAACTTCTCCAGCTACACTGGACCCACTATTTTCTGCATTTCGGATATACTGCCTAGCATTCTGAGGCTTAACTCTTTGTTTCTAGTCTTAAGTCGTCATTGTAGATTCCTACTGACTTCGTCATTACCGCATTCTCTTCTCCATTATCTAAGCTGAATAAAACTGTATTACATAGTGTTTATTTGTGTATGTAAAGAATCTGCCTGCAACGCAGGAGACCCAGGTTCAACCCCTGGGAAGAGCCTCTAGAGAAGGGAATGGCAACCTACTTCAGTACTCTTGCCTGGAGAATCCCATGGACAGAGGAGACTGACAGATTACAGCCCATGGGGCTGCAAAGAGTTGGACATGACTGAGCAACCAACACCACTACACTACTAGTCTCTCAAATTTCTAAGGGCAGGGAAATTTCTGAACTCCCTTCTGAACTATCCTTACTGTGCTAATCACTGTGATACCAACAAACAAGCACTTAATGAAATGAAATTTAAACCAGTCCACATTATTAAAGTCCAGACCTGGATGTGATCTACTGGGTGTCTCTTTGCAGTGAAGTGGGTGGTGTTTTCCATCTTTCCTGAGGCAGAACACATGGCACAGTGATTAAGAGTATGGGTTCTGGGTTCAGAGAATCCCTGGATTCAAATCTCTGCTTTTTTTCCTCCACATTCTTATGGCAAGCTTATTCGATTCTCTAGGCCAGGATATTTTCATCTCTAAAATGGGAAGATCACAGGGCTTTAATTAAGATTAAATGAGATCACATCAATGACGTGTTTAGCACACAACCCCACACATGGAAGAATAGTTCCAAGGGATGCTTTTATCTGTGTCACTCCTTGAGAATTCTGGCATAGCTCTAGGATAAGAGAAATTTTATTGCCTAAAATCTGAAGGCTTACTGGGATAAATGAAAAACGTAATGAAAGCATCAAAATTAGCCGTCAGACCAGGACTATCAGTCCTTGGTAATAAGTGGGAGACAAAGATACTATCACTTCACATGTGTGTGGCTGGAAGAGACAGAATAAGGGGAGAGACTATTGCTCTAGGAAGGCAGACTATTCCCTGAGATGTAGCCCAAAGCCCATACCCTAACCGGGGACATCAGTCCAGAACCAGTCAAGGAGGTGGTTGAGGAGACTCCAGATAGTGTCTTCAAATGGAATGAGTACTGGTTCCAACCTGTTCAAGTTTCCTCAACCAAGGGTGTGTCAGACAGGAAAAACAAGACTACTTCTGGAAATGGGAAGCATCGTGCTCACTTACTGGTCAGAAGCTGTAATCACTGGAGTTGAGCTGTCAGGTTCAGAGTCAGCTGGGGAAGCAAAGGAGCAGCAAAGGTGGCAGCTGCTTAGGGCTGGAGTTGGAAACTGCAGCAGACACTGACCACTGGCTGGGTAAAGATCGCCGTTCCCTGGAAGCCTTTGAAAATGAAATGGGGTATGAAGACAAACCAAAGTAAAACTGGGAGGCAGGTGGCTGACGGTCACATAGAAGCATGATTTAAGGCCAAGTTCTGGCCGTCCTTAATGGTATGGCCTCAGAAAACTGTGGTTGCAGATAATTAACCTAGAGGTGGGGAGCATAAGCACAGGACTGGCAGGGCATAATCCCAGGCCCTCGCTTTTTCCCAGTGCCTCCACTGTTGGTCTTGGTGCCCTCATTTGGATGGCCTCCAAAATGACTTAACTCATTATACTTAATTTGAAAATTATTTCCCAAGCTGCTCAAGGGTATCAACTCATAAGTGTTCTCGGGGTAGCCATTAGGTCTTATCACATGTAGGGGCAAATATTCTCCCTACGGAAGCATACAGTACGTTATTCTTAATGAATTTGGTAACAGACTTAAAACACAATCTGGGGATTAACTTGCTAAAGTGGTTAAACAGAGATTCTTGGCGCCTGAGTGCTTGAGTCCTAAAGACATTTCAAAGATTCACACGACTCCAGGCAAACCAAAAACCTGGGTGAGGGGAACTGGGCTGCAATGAATTCTTGGCAGGGCTGGTTCAGCTGTGAGTCTATGTTCAAGTGAACTGAGGACAAGACTCAGGAGCTGAAAAGGAAGGCCCCTGCTTTTCATCCTAGAACAAGTATTTCTCTCAGGGCTAAAACCATTCCTTCAGCAGTCAAGCAAAGGAAAGGGGTCCATAGAACACCCAGATATTCTGAAATTTCACAGGCACCTTGGCGTAGTTCTTCAACCTACGCTACTCTGGACCCTGGGAGGCCCTTTGGATCTGGTAAACTGTGTCCTTCTCTTATAGGAAATGTTCTTATGCTAGTTCCTGGATAATTTCCACTTCTACTTTTTTTAAAAAAAACTCTTACTATTTGAATGTGGATCTCCTAGAGCAATTTTCTCAGGTTCTTATTATTTATCTACCATTTTCCATCACTGTTGTTTTCTTTGTTGTTGTTGTTTCACTTACTGGGAGGTTTCTATAATCTTATCTTTTGAATATTCTTTTAACACAAATATTTTAAAATTTCAGTTTATCATACCTTCATTTTCCAAGAGTTCTGAATGCTTTTTTAAAAATTAATGAGCATTTTATAGTGATAATATAATTTTGTTAGGAAGATATAACAATCATAAAATGTGTATGCCTTTAATAACAGAACTTCAAGATACACACAAAAAAATGGACAGAATAAGGAGAACATGGCTGCACAATTATATCAAGAGATTTTAGCATCCATCAGTATGCAATTCAGAGAAAAATGAGATAAAACATCTGCATAGACACAGAAGATATGAACAACACCATCAATCACCACCTAACTGACATTTATGAAACACATCAACCAACTGCAGACTATGTATTCTCTTCAAGTGTACAGAATACCTTCACAAAGATAGGTCATATGCTGGACAATAAAACAGGTTAATACATTTTAAAGGACTGAAATGTGCAGAGTGTATTTTGTGGCCACAGTAGAACTAAATAAGAAATCAATAACAATATAGTATCTAGGAAACCCCCAGATACCTAGAAGTTAAACACCCTCCTAAATAATTCATGTGTTAAAGGCAAAATCACAAAGGCAATTAGGAAATATTTTGAGTGGGATGAAAATGAATTCAGCTAAAAGAGCTTTAAAATGTGTATATTATAAAAGGAGAAAAAGTGTAAAAATCAGAGAATGTAACAGATAAGGACAGAAATTAGTGGAGTAGAAAATAGATAAAACAGAAAATTATCAAAGCTAAAATTTGGTTTTTAAAAAGAGCAACAAAACTGACAAAGCCCAAGCCAGATTGACTGAGAGAAAGAGAATGCAAGTCACTAAAATGATGGTAAAGAGGGGGCTTATCACCACAGATCCTACAGGCATTTAAGGATAAAAAGAAAAATATGAAAAACTTAATGCCAACAAATTCAACTATTTAGATTAAGTGAAAATCCTTGAAAAATATAATTTACCAAAAATGATACAAAAAGAAACAGAATACCTGAATAGTCCTATCTATATAAAAATTGAATTTCTTACAAAAATCTCCCCCAAAATAAAACTCCAAGTGCAGATTATTTTAGTGGTGAATTCAGCAAACATTCATAGAAGAAATAATACCAATCTTACACAAACATCTTCAGAATATAGAGGAGACAACATTGCCCAGCTTAGTTTATGAAGCCAGAATAACCCTAACACAAAAAACAGACCCAAAAATCACAGAAAAAAAATTAAAGACCACTATCTCTCATGTACACAGATAAAATTTCTTAATAATAGCAAAATAAACTCATAAATATTTTAAAAGAATACTACATTATGATCAAGCAGATTTTATCCCCAAAATCAAGATTGGTTTAACATTTTAAAAATGAATGTAATTTACCATGATTATGATATTAACAAAATAAAGGAGAAAAACCATTTCAATGTATGAAAAAGTATGCAAAATTCAACACCTATTGATGACTATAGAAAGAAAAAAGGAAACTCACTACAACCTGCCTGGGAGAGAGGAAATTTCCTCAAACTGATAAAAATCATCTTAAAAAAAAAAAACTCTACAGCTAACATCATGGTGGTAAAAAACTGAATTGTTCCCCCCCCAAGATTAGGGGAACAAAGCAAGAATATACCACTTCTATTTAACATTGTACTGGAGGTTCTAGAAATAAGGCCAAAACCAAAAAAAGGGGGAAAAAAGAAAAAAAAAAAAAAACTACAAAAAAAGTAGAACTGTCCTAATTTTCAGATGATACGATGGTTTACATAGGAAATCTACAAAATGCCTGTTAGAATTAGTAAGTGAATTTAGCAAAATCACAATGTTGACACACAAGCTTTTTTATTTACTGATAGCTATTTTTTATATATTATATACTTATAGCTAATGATTTAAATATAAACTTTCAAAGGATTGAAGTTTTAGTAGTGCCAAAAAAAATAAAATAGGAGTAAATCTAACAAAATATTTCTAAGACCTCTGCACTGATAACTATAAATCATTGCTGACAGCAATTAAACATGACTGCAATAGAAAGATAAATAATATTCATGGACTGGAGGATTGAACATGTTCATTATGATAGCAATTATCCCCATATTGATTCAAGGAAATCCCTACCAAAATCCCAGCAAACTATTTTGCAGAAATTAACAAATTCATTATAAAATGTACATGAAATGACAAAGAACCTGGAATAATCAAAGTACTTTTTAAAAAAAGAATAAAGTTGGAATATTTAGATTCCTTAATTTTAAGAATTACTACAAAACTACAATAATAATAAGAGTTTTATACTGATGAAAAGATAGACACATAAATCAATAAATAGAATAGAGAATTCAGAAATAAACCTATACATATATGATCAGATAATTCATGACAAAAGTGCCAAAATGATTCATAGGGAAAGAAAAATCTTTTCAACAAATACTGCCAAATCAACTGGGTATAGACACAGGAAAAAAAAATGAATATCAACCCTCACCTCACACCACACACAAATGCTAACACAAAATACTGCATCACAGACTTAAATGCAAGACCTTAAAGTATAAACATTATCAAAAACATATAGGAGAAAACCTTTGTGATCTTGTAATAGGCAAAGACTTCTTAGTACTCACAAAGCATAAATCACAAAAGAAAGAAATCGATAGACTAAACTTTTTCAAATTTAAAAGTTTCTGCTCTTCGAAAGAAGCAGTTAAATATGCAAATACAAGAAAATATTTACAACCCATATAAAAGGTCTGTATCCAAAGTATATAAAAAATTCTTATAAATCAGTATCAAGACAGCCTACTTTTAAAAGTGGATGAAAGATGTGAATAAGCATTTCACTAAATATGACATTCAAATAGTCAGTAAGCACATGGAAAGGTATTCAACATCATCATTCATCAGGAAAATGAAAATTAAAACTGCAGTGAAGTTTTATACACCCATTAGAATGACTAAAATTTAAAAGCCTGACTATATCTAGTGCTGGAGGGGATGTAGAGCAACTGAAACTCTCATACACTGTTGACAGAATGTGAAAGTACAACCACTTTGGAAAACAGTTTGAAATGATCAAACACTTACCAATCAACCAGCCATTCCACTTTTAGATATTTACCAAAGTGAAAAGAAAACAAGTGTCTATGCAAAGGCTTAAACATGTTCACTGCAACTTTTTTGGTAGATGCCCAGAATTCGAATCAACCCAAAAGTCCATCAGCATGTGAATGGGTAAACAAGTTATAGATGCCCATATTATTGAAAATTACCCAGCAATCAAAAGGGACAAACTGTTGATAAATGCAGTATCATTGATCTAAAATGGTCATGCTAGAAGAAAACAGATGAAAAAAGAGTATCCGTGTGACTCCATATACTTAGAATTCTAGAAAGTGCAACTTACAGTTTCAGTTAAAAAAAAAATCATGGTTACCTGGAGATAGGGGTAGAGAGAAGAACAGAATTACAAAGGAGTCTGAGGAAACTTTTAGGACTGATAGAAATATACATTTTCTTGACTGTCACAACAGTTTCATGCGTGCTACAAATTTCAAAGTCAAACTATACATTTTAAATATGCAGTTTATTTTCCATAATAATGAAATAAGTTTATAAAGTGGCAAAAATCAGAAACAACCATTCTAGTGGGTCAAACAATTAAAATAGCATTTTTTTCTTTTTCACCAAATGATAATATGTGCTAATTTTCTAAGAAGGTTAATTATACTTTTCTTCCAATTTTCCAACTGTTCCTTACATTGTTTCCCCTCCTTCAGTTTCTTTTTTTCCTTTTTATTTTGGTTTCTTTTTTTAAATTGTCATTCTTTTAATTTCTGGTGGATTGGTAGCTTTAATTTTGGTTGATTGGAAGCTTTGTGTGTGTAGCAAAAGATGAGCTTAATCACAAGTAGATTTCTTCATTTAATGATCAAGCAGGGATCT